GTCAAAAATTAAAAAATTAAAATCGATAAATTTGTCAATAAAATTAAAAAATTCTAAGCCAATCATAGTTCAATACAAAAAATTACTTAGGGTAGTTTTTTCAATCCGCTAGTGATTTGGACTGTAATTGTTGTCCCCTACTCTTAGATTATTAAATAAAAATTTTTAGTAAACACTTAATTTGTAACAGTTTCGAAATGAATGGGTTTACCAAATACTTATTCTTAGCAATTTTAATAAAACCGCTAACTATTATTTTCAAACTGCTATACTAAAAGACCCTTAAAGTTTAAAAATAAGATTTGTAACTTAGAATCTTAACTTCTTAATCAATTAAGCCATTTCATTTGAGCCAATTTTTATATGTTATTAAATTAATAAATATATAAAAATATAGATCTATTTATACATAAATCTTACACAATACACTTACATAAAATCTTAATATTTCATTTCTTTACTTTCAATACTTTAACTCTATATATATTATTATGAAAAAAAATGTCAATTATTAAATAGTATTTAAAATTATAAAAAAAATTTATACAAAAAATTTTACTCAACCATTTTCTCAAAAAGGTTAAAGCCAATTATAGTCCTTGTTCTATGCATTGTCATTCATTGTCATCCTGTACCTGGCTGTACACCAAAATAGTTCATTGTACCCCTCTACTCTTCAAAAGTATGCTGTTGCCGTCCCTCTACTTTGTACAAGCATTATATTGTCATCCTTCGATGGACTTCGTTTCTAACATTAGACGATTGACTCCGTTTCTAACATTAGAGAAACGTTCGTCCATTTCACAGTAAAGTGTTAATTTTTTTATTAAAATAATTATTTTTAATTTCATTTTTTAGTGGGAAGGACCATGTCTATGCCACATCAGCCCAAATGACCATTCCTTCTATGTTAGTATCCTCATGTTCCCTTGGGCAGCCTAATCCTCAATTTGGCAAAACCTTTTACATTGCAAAATATTGTGCTTTTTTTTTTTTTCTTTTTTTTGCACTATCTTATGCCACATGTAGTTTAAATATATTCAATCAACAAGAGACCACCTTATTAATCAAAAAAATTTTTAATTTGTGTTTTTATAGCACATATGAACAATATAATTAATATACTTTTTAATCATTAAATTATATAAAAAATAAAAAAAGATAATATTAGTTTTTTTTTATATTTATAATTAGAGTATCCTTGAGTCAACTTTCATGTACCTTTAGATTAATTCCTCTTTGATTAATCTTAATGACACATCTTCTATATTAGTTTGGTACATACATTTTACCAAATTAATTTCCTAGGCTGATAGCTTAAAAACTTAAAGCCTAAATTTTACCTACAAAATGATACTTACTTATCAGTGGATCCAATTATTAGAAATTTAAAAAATTGTGGATGTGAGTTTTAACATAAAACTTGTATCCAACTTAAAATCAATTGATATGAGTTTTAACATTGATTTGAGTTTTAACATTAATATCACATATGCTAATTTAATTAGTTAGTTATTAAAATTAAAGTCATATTTTATTTTTTTATATAACTTATGATTAAAAGGTAAAGTAATTACATCATTAATCTATAACTTAAGATCTGTTAAAAAAATCTTTAGTCAAAACAAATTCAAATTTCAAGACACAGAATATGAGGTTAAAAAGATAGAAGGAATCAATGCATAGGGAAAAAGAATAAGACTGATTCTAATTGCTTGCAGAGAAACAAATATTGCATAT